ATTTAACCTTTTGATGATGATCGATGTAAAACCCAATCACAACATTAAACATAGTATTTTTGAACAATGAGAGACTCTCAAATCATAATACATGAACAAATGATCCAAAAATGGAAAAGAAAAAAATGTTGAGCTCAAATAAAAAACAGCTGTTTGTGGGTATGAAAAAGAAACATACATAGACGATCTGTACAGATTGGACATAGATACACATACAGTTTAACAGGCAAACACCTCACAAAATCAGAGTGCACTCAAATATATCTAGGCAATTTGAATTATAATAACTTTTATAGTTTTTACACTTCTAAGTATAAATAGGCTGGTTAGAACCTTTTCATAGGTCAATTGACAGATATCTCTTGCAATAAGAATCAAAAGGAATAAAACCTTTTACATCTGTGAAAGCAAAGACAGTCACTAAATTAAAGACAGCTATTAGGAAGTCATAGGACTTAATCACAAATTGGAGCTCTTTTATATAGTTGTAGGGATCTGTGGAGAAGGAATTTAGTCTATGAGAGATTTGCAACAGAAAGAGAAAAAGGCACATGAATGTGAATCAACCCCTTAGGGCTAATATCTCTCAGAGAAGAAGGAGGGATTGCTGTTGGGAAAATGGTGACTGACTAGAGAATGGTGACTGAATAGAGAGCAAGATGGCAGGAGATGGGAGGAGTGAGGCACTGGCTGACTAGAAATGACAGCAAATGGTTGAGGATGATGGGAAGTTGGCAGGGTGAGACTGAGTGTGGTGTGCCAGAGGAGAAAATGGTGACAGAGGAGTGGGGAAGGAGGAAGAAATAGGAAGAGATGATGACGAAAGGAGTGGAGGAGGAAGAAGTAGGAGGAGAAGATGGCAGCATAGGAGTAGGGGAGGCCAACTGAGGGGACTAAGGAGGTTTCTGGGTACAGGGCAGAGGAGGAGTGAAGGCAGAAGGGAAATCGTCCTGAGGATCAGTGGGATTGTCAGGTAAAGCTGTCGGTAGTGTGGAGCAGGCCAGAAGTATTTGGGCTGCCCCGCACACCTGAATGAGGGGGAGACATGCCCCGGGAGTGAAAAAAGGCTTGCGTGCAAGGTATCTCTCACCATTTGCCATTGTGGTAGCAAAAATTGGCTAAATCATGGTGGACATTGAAATCAAAAGTGCCCTCCTTAGGCCAGCAGCTACCATTATAGAGTTTGTATTGGGTCCAAGCTGTCTGGCACTAAAAGATTAGTCATTTTGGTTTGACCTAGGGTGAGACACCTGAGTGGAATGTTTTGGGGTAGGGAAGGAATATTTCCCATAATGATCAAATCGGAGGTGAGTTGAAGGCTGAAGTCAGTCACAACCCCCAAGGAAGATCATTGCCCTTGTTGGGGGTGTGATAGAGAGAAAGGTGCCCTGCTGGCCCCTGAACTCATCACCTAGGGGTTGGGGTGGTGTTCCGAAGGATATGAGGGAGTCCTAGAGTGGAACCCACAACTTTTGAGAGAGAAGAAAAAAGTGGCAGGAACTCCTGGAACACAGAGCAGCTCATTTATGGGAGGCAGATTGGATCAGTGTTGGATGGATGCTGGCAATGGCAAAGGCAAAGACGAGGAAAACTGGAAGGGTGGCTCTTTGGTGGGGGAGCTCAAACTGGGGTAATGGTAGTTTCATTTGTATTTTCATTGTGGTTCACGTGGGAATTTATTGTTATTTTAGATTTAGTCAGCAAATAGTTGATGTAGAAAATGTCGATGTTTATTCTAAACATTACATATTTGATGTTTTATTTTATTTTATTGATGTTTCACTTTCCTGGTAAGCACACATTGTGTAATATAATAGCAAACTCCTGACAACAGAAGTGACAAATATGGCCTGTCAAACAGGAAAGGAAAGCTAAGTATGTATGCGTCAATGTAAATGAAATTTATGCATGGAATATGCTGTTGTCATGTGTGAAGACTACCTTAGATGCAATAATAGCAGCAAAGATTTTCTCTGTAGTACAGTTTTGTATTTTCATTATAGCTCATGTAAGAATTTGTTTTATGCTGTTATATTTTAGATCTTCTAAGCAGATAAACAGCTGATGTTGAAAATGTTGTTTATTCTACACACTTATTGTATATTAAAAAGTTAATTTTTTATATTTTATTTTCCTGTTGAGTGCACATTGTTTAATATAATAAAACTCATGAAAAAATTAATAAAATTAATAAATTAATTTTAATTAATAAATTTAATTAATTAAATAATTAATAAAATTAATAAATCATCAATAGAAATACCCCTAAAAATTAAATGTGGCCATTATATATGCCCATAATATATCTTTTCAAAAATTGTACCATGATGCCCCTATGGGAGCAATTTATTTTGCTCATGGTTTTCATGAAGTTCAGTGACTCTGTGGATTAATAGTGAGATGATGGGAATAGTTCTCCCATGATTTAGTTATCCTCCACGGCCCCATCTCTGAATATTACATGTGACTTCTAGGGAAATGCTAGGTCTATAACACTAATCATAGGGAGAAACATTTGATTGTACACCATCTGGAATAATATTATCAGGGGTTTCACAGATACACTATCAAGTTGAGAATTTTGATTCCCAGTTTGTTGAGTATTTTGATCAAAGGCTTTTCTGCACCTACCTGCTAATAAAACATATTATTTTGCCTTTGTGAAAACTCTGTCTTGTGACTTTCAAGTGGCCCCTTATAATTGGTGAAGATGCAAAACAAGTATACAGCTATTCTACCCAGAAAATAGCGAAAGGGCTACTTTGGGGTTTGACTAAGACTTGGGTTTGATCTGAGGAGTTCTTCCATGCATTCATTTGAATTCTCAAAATTAAACTGGAATCATGCTTTTGCGTTTATTTATTTATTTATTTAGGCTGTATTGGGAATTAAGCCCAGGACCTTTGCACTAAACTGCATCCCCAACCTTTTTTTTCAAAGACAAGGCCTTGCTCAATTACCAAATTGCCCAGGCCTGAGCTTAAACTTTCAATCCTCCTGTTTCTACCTACCAATGTGCTAAGATTACAGGTATGCACCTCTGGCTTCCACTCAGGCCAGTCTCTTCTTCATGAGATGTATCAGATCCTTTCATAGTAATATCTGCCCCACCCAGCCATCTTCACACTGATTTGCTTTCCAGCGAAGTAACTATTTGCAGTAAGACAAGGGGACTGCACACAGGAGGCAGGCCACAGTCGGCATCCCTGGTGAGACTCCCATGCGGACTGTCCCTGAGCCTGGGACCCACTAGGATTTGGCATACAAACAGTAACTCTCACAGGACCCTGTCTCAGAGGGGACACCTGGAGTTCCAGGGCATCAGTATAACTGTTGTCTCAGTAGACAGAGCCTAATTTTAGCTTCAGGGTTGCACAGTAGTATCAGTTGGGACTACGAGAACCTGCGGGCTGCGCTCTCTGGAAAGCAAAACTGGGATTCAGCTCTGAGAGCAGGCCTTGGTCCCATGCAGCAGAGGCAAGCACAGGAGCACTGCATCAGCTCTGGGGAGCACAACTGCGGGACGCCTCTGATTTTTCGGTCTCCATTGTTCTCTTCGCTGATCTAAGCCAGGAGATGGGTAGCAGCGACCTCCCAGCACCCCAAAACCACCACCAGATTCTTGCCTTCCAGCTGGAGATGGTCAGTGGGGTTTGGCACTAACAGATGAGAGGGAGAGGACAAGAGCCCGGAGGGAAGGTCTTTTATTTTCCTGATTTCCTTCCTGGGAGGTCTGCCTCTCATTCTACTAGACAGCTCTTGCCTACAGCACAGGGGAGCGTTCCCACGTACCCTCCCGGGACTCGTCCTCTCTCCCCGCCCCTCCCAAGATGCCACACCTTCCCCCCACCCCGCTCCGCCCCACTCCACACCCCCTCCCCATTAGGCCTCCTTGTAACTTTCTCTGACACCACCCCATTTCGTTCTAAAGAGTACCTTCGTCAGACCTCTTCAAATTACTTAGCTTAGTGCTGCTTCCTGCCACCATCCGGAGTACTGGAGAATAGGTGACGTCCTTGAACATAATTTGGAAAAGAGGCAATGAAAAAAACCAGACTTTCTGCTGATTGTTCTGATCTGAATATTGAGGGAAACGGGATCCCCCTCCCCACAAGCTAGTAAAACAGTCCAAGTTACAGAATGTACTTACAAATCTATTCCTTTTGACAGGAGTGCCCATGGGCAACATTAATCTTTCAGGGACTATTAATATTATATCAACCTGCGGGTGGAAGATATTTAAAGAATGCTTATTGACCTTAACTGAACTGTAAGACTGTCTCCAGGCTTCGATTTTTCCACCTGCACAGCCCCTACCCGACTAAAGTCTCACTCTTTTAGGTGAAGCCCAACGAAGTCAAGGCAGAGAAAATGGAAATAGTCATTAAATAAATGCGTTTCTCTCTCCTTAACTGTTTTCTGGGACAGAGAGTAGTCAGGACTTGGTAAACAGAATTGGTGGTGCAAGATGTCTCAGAAGTACTTTAAACCAAATATTCTAAATAATTCACAGTTCAAACACCGTCTAGGGAAGGGGCCTCGCGGAGCGCGTTCCTCCTCTCCAGCGGCCTCCCTGACAGGCGCTGGGCAGAGAGTAAGAGCCGGGAGCTGCGGCGGCGGGCGGCTCCACAGCGGACCCCAGGGCCACCTGCCACCTGCCGCGAGGCAGAGGCCGAGGTGCGGACACGGCCACCTCAGCTCCCAGCAGTCACACGGCCCACACGGGAGGCGGATGGCCTCGTTGTGTGGGAAAGTGGGAATTTATTCTTTTTGTGGGCACATTTTTATAAATGAAAGACAGGGTGGAGGACGAGCAGGAGGTTCCAGACTGTCAGGGAAAGAGTCCCGCGAGAAGCGCGGGTCGGGCAATCCCACGGTCTCCTAGTACTCGGGTGCGGGGCGGAGCCGGAAATGCAGGTGGGAGGGACCAAGGGTGAGAGTGAAAGGGATTAGGACTGCGGGTGGGCGGGACCCAGGCTGCGGGTGGGCGGGGCTCGACAGGCGGACCCGTCCCTGCGCCGGGGGCGGAGCCTGCGTGCCGTAGACGCGGAGCTGCGCCGGCTGGATCATGGCGGCTCCCAGCGCGCTGCTGGTGATGGGCGTGAGCGGCGCGGGAAAGTAGGTCTGGGCTCCGGGTGCGGAAGGGAGGCTCTGGGGAGCTCAGCCGTCCGCGAGGCGGGAGGGCATCCGCCGAGAGACCCGGGACCCCCGGGCCGGCCCGCGCAACCCGGGGCTCCTGGGCACCGAGGAGTCCGCCTTTGACTTCTGACGACCAGGACCAGACCGCGCGCCTTTGTCCCAAAACACAGCCGCAGCGGGATCCGGCCGCAGGAGTATAAGACACAGGCTGAGACGTAACCTTCTATGGCCCTTCTCAGAGTTTCAGAAACAGGAAATGCGTGTGTGGCTGGAAATCTGTGAAGGCGTCTTCAATAATGTATCTGTAGCTTCCCATTATTACTGTGATTTAGCCTCAAAGACAGGAGATTTAAAATTGCAATTGAAAATAAAGCGTAGAGCCCAGGACTGGAGTGTAACTCAGTGTTAGAGCTCTTGCCTAGCACATTCGGTTGGATACCCAGCACCTCAAAACAAAACAAAGCGGAGCCCCAAATCCCTGACAGCTCTTGTATGAGTTGAAAACACTGAGGTTGTGGACCTGTCACGGTAATGTGTGATGAGCGTTGGTTCTCAGGATGCCTGGCTGTGTGAGGTTTGCCATCGGTGCACCCCTGTAATCTTTGACCGGACTAGAATGGCCTAAACCACTGTGTTCACAGCTTGGGATATTAGTGTGTTCAGTAGCTGTCCACAGAGCCCAACCCTTACCGTTTGTCCTTGTCATATAATGAACAAAGAGAATTAATAACATTCCTGTGTGGCAGGCAGAGTACATGCAGAGTGCACCAGCTGCAGACAATTGCTTTAGGGGAAAAAGCTGAGCAGGAAAGACTGGTGAGAAAGTGCACTGAAGGAAGACTAATCTGAAAGTGAGGGATCCACCCTATAGGGTAGCTACAGGAAGCAGAAGGAAGCCATCCTGGTTCAGCAACCGGGAGGAGAGATGGAGATGAAGTCACAGCCCCTAAGATGCAGTTGTGTTCCAGAAGTGTTTGGAAGGAAAGGCAAAATGATGTGTTTGTAGATTGTACGTGGGGTATGAGTACAAGGGAGGAGTGGAGTGTGAATTAAATTTTAGGTCTGGGTAACTGGAAGAGGGAGTAGCTTCAGGCTGAGGTTGGGAAACAGTAGATGGAGCAGGTTTGCAGAAGTATCAGGAACTTGGGGTTAGGTGTTCAAGTGGATTTGTCAAGGGATGGTTAGGTATCCAAGTCTGGAATTGGGAAGAACTTCAAGTGAAAATATGGGAATTTTGGGTGTGGTTGTATTTAACAACTTAACATGCGAGATCAAGAAGAGAGGATAAATACTGAAGCTAGCCTCGAACTGAGCCCTGGAGCTCGCTGTGGTTAAAGGTCAGAGAGATGTTTCAGGTATCCCTGAATGAGTACTAAAAATGATTGAATGAATTATGTTAGTCATAGGATGTAGCAATACTGAGTTCTTTGGTGACTTTGTGAGTCCCTGTTTGAATCCTGCAGAATTTTTAATTATATATTATGACATTTGGAAAAAGAACTGCTACAGCCTAATTAAGAGAACAATATAACAGAAGGGTGTATCTAAAGCAGTGTTGAAATGAAGTGATATAGAGTAGTAAGTTTACCTGTTTACAATGTCCAGTACCATGTCCACTGCTTCCCCCTGCCATGTGAACAGAAGAAACTAAATATTCTCTGTTCACTGATAGTGTCCAGACAGTTCTACCCACAGGAAGTACTCAGTAAATATCTGTTTGTTGTAACCCAAAAACGAGACCCCAAAATGTTGTCCAAAAAACGGGGCAAGATGTCTTTTTAAAGAAAAAAGAGTGCTTTTATTTATCCTGGCACCAGCAACACCAGTGCAGTTGGAGTTTGCAAAGCTGTGTAACTGGCTTAAAATATTGACAGACTTTTATAGAAAGAACAATCACAAAGTAAATGAAGAAGACCTTTGTTTCCCTTTGCTTGAGGGCAGAGAAGTTTCATAGTTGGTGGTCAGCCATTTCCTTTACAAGAATTTACAGTCCTTTGTCTACTAATTTCAGGAGCAACTATCTTTCACAAAAGGGGGACAAAGGTTGAGAGGAATATAGGTAACTCCAGGTCGACTGACAATTGTCCTTGTCAAAGGGAACAAAGGTTAACACAGCAAACAGGTTACCAGGGTGACGGCACGTACAGAACAGTATGGCGGTGCTTTATAGTTACAGTGTGACACTGTTGACTGAAAATGAACATCAGCAGTTTTAGTTTTCATTTTTTAAAAACATTTGCTTTCGGGGGCTGGGGATTTAGCTCAGCGGCATAAGCGCCTGCCTTGCAAGCAGGCAGTCCTGAGTTTGATCCCTGGTACCGATAAAAAGGAAAAAGACCAAAAAAAAAAAAAAATTTGCTTTCGTAGGAAGACAATTTTATTTTAAAAGTCATCATAAACCACAAGGATGTCTATGAACATGATGTTTAAATGTGCCAGAGGCACATGACTTCTCCATGTCGTCAAATGCCAGCTTAACCCACCCAACATCTCCATCCTACCTGCTGCTGACCTTCTCTGCCCCACTTTTATAAAGTTATTTTTTCTTTTTTAAATAAGAGACATGTTGGTAACGCTAAGGGACATGTTCGTAAAAACTAATTGTCCATATTCACAGAGATACTGTGGAGTCTCCAAGCGCAGTATACAGGGAAAGAAGGGGAAAGCTAGAATTCCGTGCACTGCTGCACGGGACCAAGCATCCTGCAGTTGCAGCAGAGGACAGCCAGCACAAAGGTCTTCTTTTTGCCCTACAGAGCACTGTGGTGTTGATTCCCCAGACTGTATTGAGACAGAAAGGGGTAAAAGTGAATTTAGACAAAAGGTATGGAGCTTCTTTGACATTGTATTTTGTTCAAGGTTTCTCGTTGATGTAAGAACCATAGTATTTGAGAAAAGAGACCTCAGGAACAGAACAGCTGAGCACAGGGGTGGGGCGGGGGAGACTGTAACTTGGTCCCAGGAAGTGGAAGAAATTTTCTTTTTAAAGGTTGGAATCCATCAGTGTTCAATTAGTTATCTCCATCATCCTTTTCTTTCTCCCTTTTGTCATCATCTTCGTGGCCTCTATCACCCCCCTTCATCAATGTCTTCCAGTCCTTTATTGTTACCTTCTCCTTCCCACCCTCATCACCCATACTGGGAACCAGTCGCACTGCATTGACCTCTCGTAACCCCTGTGCGTGCATCACAGTGGTCAGGAAACCAGGGAAAGAAGATCTCTGATTCTTCAAGCTACGTCTTCCTGCTGGCTTTATTCTATGTTTAACCTGAACATTTTGTCAAGTCCTTTCCAGATTTCCATTTGGTCTCAATGGAAGAAACCACTCTCATTCAGATAAAGTTTTTTTGGAGAGAACTTTATTTTCAAAGTAATGATTTTAATTGAGATAAACATCTATTCCTTAACCTGATCTAATTTCAAATTCTGTCACTTCAAATCATGCTGCCCCTACCTCTTCCTCTCCAAGGTGTGCCAGCACTTGTGGGTAGTTAAAATTTGGGCCTTTGGTGATCAGTTCTGACCTCTTCTGAAAAAATGTTAAAAAAAAAATGGTTGGCAGAGTTTGTTATATTGCTGTTCTCCACTCACTGTCTCCTTCCTGGCTTGTTTATTAATCTGTCTGTTTCATTTTTTACTTTATTAATACATTCACTTGCTTCAGGTTGTCTTTTTCTTCCTTGGGCAGGCCCAGCAAGGCTGACCCATCTGCAAATTGGACACAGGAGGTGGTGCGTGGGGGCCATAACACAAGGGAAGTCCCCGCACCAGCCCAAGGGTTGACTTGGGCCATAGAAAGCTGTTCAAGAACTCAGTTGTCTTAATATTCTAAAATCTTATTTTCAGTACTGGAGATGGGATACAGGGGTGCTCTAACACTGACCCACACCTCCAGCCCTTTTCCTTTCTTTTTTTTCCCCCCTTTTTTGGGAAAGGGTTTTGCTATGTAGTCCAGACTGGCCTCAAATTCACAGCAACGCTCCTGCCTTAGCCTATAATCTGGGATTATAGATGTGCATCATTGTGTCAAGCCCCTTTTTAATTTGAAACAAGGACTCTCTATATTGTTCAGATAGCACTTGAGCTCTACATCTTCCTGCCTCAGTCTCCCTCAGTGCTGGAAACAAGTGTGCACCAAAATGTCCAGCATTTTTTAAAGTGTTAATGAAGCTATCTTCCGTTTCTCATGGAGCAAACTTAAAACTTTGAAAACTTGCTTCTTTATCCTTTCCCTCTGTCTCAGTAAACGGCTATGTTTTTAAGTTCTTTGTCCTGATTTAGACCAAAACACTGAGAGATGCTTGGGCCTGCTTTAGTTTGTAATGCTTAGATCTGACCATTTCCTGTGAGCCAACCTGCACCTGTTTCCTGCTGGGCTTCTAGTAGATACTCAGTTCATTAGTCCAGATGTTCCATGGTTCAGGAAGTTTAAATGGAGCACAGGCCTGCCTTTTCCTTTTCCTCTTATCTCCTACCCAAGTCTTCACCCAGAATCAGCATGTCTCTTCCTTTGGATTATCCATGGTGGCTGGTTGTTGGCTCCCAGTTCATCTAACTAGGCCTGTGCATAGTCAAGTTCCCCTGGTCCAGCGATTCCCCCACTGAGCTGCAGCATGTCACCTGTGAGGCCTTTACCAGAGTGAACGCAATGGGGATGTTCCGGTGCCCAAGGATCAGGTCTCCAGTTTGGTACAAATGTGCCTTCAACTTTTGTAACAAAAGAGAGAAAACTAGGCCTGTAGTCCCAGCACTTGGGAAGCTGAGGCAGGATTGCTGCGAGTTCAAGGCCAGCCTGGTCTACAAAGTAAGTTCAAGGCCAGCCTGAACTGCATAGTGAAACCTTGTCTCAAAAAGACACACACACGTGCGCATATACACAGATACAAGATCCAAGTTAGAAAACAGTATTTAGCTAGACTTTCATCACATTATTTTGTTCTCATCGTATACATTTTTTGTTACATTCTATTTAAGGCAAGCAGTGATACTTTTGTAAGAGAAGGAAAAAGACTTTAACCCACTTTGTTTAATTTTTAAAAGTGAAGTAATTAAATAAAAATATCAAATGAGTAATTATAGGGATGGCAAGCAAAATGTAAGAGAAAGGACCTGATGAACTGGTGTAAGGATACACTAAAAATTTTGAATGTGGATATTTGAGTGACAAGAATTAGGGCAACACTTTAGAAATTGTATCAATGGGGCGGGGGATTTAGCTCAGCAGTATAAGCGCCTGCCTTGCAAGCAGGCAGTCCTGAGTTCGATCCCCGGTACCGATAAAAAAGGAAAAAGACAAAAAAGAAAAAGAAATTGTATCAGTGTCTGCCAGATTCTTCTTACCCACAGCACTAGATTGAGCTGCAGGATGTTTGAAAACACATCTCTGAGGCTTCACCGTGATGTCCTGGGAACCAGGGGCATGCAAGGTGTATGCCACCACACAGACTTTCTTTATCTTTTGTCTAGTTATTTATTTATCTATTTATTTATTGGTACTGGGAATCAAATTCATGACCTTGCACTTGCCAGGCACGCATTTATGCTGCTGAGCTATATTCCCAGCCAATCAGAGGCACTCAATAAAGATCAGCTACTGAAGGAAACACCAGTGAATGGAGAAGTGATGTAGCTCAGTTCCCCTTGAGACAGCAGAGGACTAGAGGAGCATGCCAGTTGCCCAGAAGGCAGTCATTTAGTAGTGGAACATTGGCTGCGGCTCAGATCACCACTCTGAAGCTCTGGCCCTGAGTTTTCCACTGACTGAAGCAGACTGTTGCAAGATGCTCTGCAGAGAACCCTGGGCTGGCATCTTAGCAAGTTCTGGTCAATCGAGTCTCAGGGTCAGGCCCTTTAGTAAGAGCATATCACTTAAACCCAGACAGTGCTGTGGTGCTACTGAGTCCACCCAGACATTATACAGGTACTGCCAGGGATTAACCACCACCACCCCCACCACCACCCCCGCCATCTGCTTCTCTAACATCCTCAGCATAATTTTCTCACTTTACTCAGTATTTTCTCTCAAAGGATAAGCACCTATGCAACAGACACTATAACACTGATGATTCAGGGTAATGAAATCGGATATATTGACTTTTGGAAAAGGTGTAGAGAGATCTGGCTAATTAGGTCTCTTGATTTTTCTAGAGAAAAGCAAAGGCCAGTCTCCAAGCTGGTCGGGTTTGAGGGCATCATGGCTTTAGTCACCCAGGGTGGCATCCATCTGCTTGCCAGGCATCCTAGCAAAGAAAGAAGCGCCACACACATTGACAAGGGCAGTGACTTAGACATTTTTGTCCTCTCCACAGGTCAACCGTGGGTGCCATGCTGGCTTCTGAGGTAGCCATTCCTAGCCTCCCTGGTGCACATCCTGTGCTGTGTCTCATTGCTCCTCTCTCCTCTGGCCTGGAATGGTTTGTGCACACATTTCTGCTTGCTTGAAGCCACTGGGGCAGCTTGGTGAATACAAGTAAAGAAGAATGAAAACAGGGCTGCCTCAGCCCAGAGATGGAGGCTGTAAATGGCATCACAAAGCTCTTCCTCTCTTCTCTTGAATGGGGACACCCTTGGGCTGGTAATTGGAAGAGGCTGGTGGGATTGTTTCTACATCTGTTGATAATTCACTCCACGGTGGCTGTCCCAAAAGCCATTCAGCCTGTCTCAGACCCCCTTTCCTTTGTTCCTCAAGCTGGGCTGGAAATTTTATGATGCAGACGACTACCACCCTGAGGAGAACCGAGCGAAGATGAGAAAGGGGATACCACTGAGTGACCAGGTAAGGATAGCCATGTCCAGCCAACAGTTCCACCTCAGTGACCGAGGCTGCAGTTTCGCAGCACTTCGTGAGTTATGGAGTAACCCATGTGCAGGTGCCCAAGGCGCCAGGTAGCAGTGGGCCCTGCTAGCTCTGCCCAGCCCTCCTAGAAACTCAGCAGTGGGGCAGTGCCTCCTCTGTCCCAGCGTGGGCAGGGTCTGCCATGCGTAGTCTGGCCTCAGCCTCCCTTAGGTGCTCTGCGTGCTCCTTATTTCCACGAGCCACCCAGCCCCCCTCAGTCCCTTCTGGAGCAGCATTGCCCCTGGCCTGGAATGTTCATCCTTCCCTCTTCCCCAAGGGAACCCGCTCACCCTGCAGACCTTAGTCATCCCTGACTGAAGAACTCTGGGCACCACTTGTCTATTGCCCAAGGCCCAGTTGCAACTCAGTAACTGATGTTCTGAGAATTCAGTTAATATTTGTCTTTGCAACTAGACTTTGTCCCCAGAAGGGCAGGTACTTTGGCTTTCTCTGTTACCATTGTACCTCCAGGCCTGACAGGCAGTAAATGCAGAAGTGTTTGGGACATGTCTTAGAGTAAATGAGCCAATAGCGTTCCCCTCGTGCAGAGCCACAGGCCATGTCCCTGAGCGTCGCAGGCTGATAGACTGCAGCTTTGCTGGCATGATTGGCTATGCCTGGGAGAGGTTGGCAGGGCCTGCCATGTGCTGTGTCCAAAGGGGCAGGAACACTTGGAACAGCCAAAGACTAACACCTGTTTTCAGCTTTAGTGGCCTCAGCTGCCCCCAGCTGTGCCTGTGCCATCTTGGTCCTTCCCTGTGCTGTGCCTGAATCACCGAGTCCCTAACCATCCTGTGGCCTGTCCCAAAGGACCGAAGGCCAAATGGTCTTATCTTGCAGGGTGCAGCGTAAGTTCAAGCCTTGAGCCATCAAAATTCAGTTTGTAGTGTTTAACTCTGGCTTTAGGAAGTGGGGCAAGGGAACTATAAAAGATAGCAAGTAATAATCTAGACAGGATGGTGATCTTATATGAGAAATAAGAAACATAATTGTGGCCCCTGGGCCCAGCACAGGCTGGCAAGTGGTTTTGTCTTTCTGTGCCTCAGTTTCTTCCTGTGAAGCAGAAATGGCAACAGGACCTAATCAGTTGAGTTCCAGGAGGATTAAATGAGAACATGGGAATAATGTACACAGCATTTTGCTCAAAATATTCAACAAATATAATTTTATTAGTACTTATGGTGCACCCCTGCACACGCGCACACACTCTTAAGTGATATAAAACGTGGGTAACATTCAAGAATATTTAAATATGACTTTCACAGAATCTATAAAGTGCAACTGTGCAGGTATTATATTTCTCTTTGATGAGTGTGAATAATTTATTTCTTCTTTAAGTAGGAAGTATGAGCTGGGAGTCATGGTGTTCACCTATAATACAGCACTCTGAGAGGCTGAGGCAGGAGGATCCCAGGTTCACGCCAAGCCTGGGCAGTTTACAAACTTAATAGAACTGTCGCAGAAGTATAAAAGAGGCTGAGGATGTAGCTTTGAAGTCAAGGCCCAGTAACACACATACATAAAAAGCAACCACTGTGAATGTGGTAGGTAGAATTCAGGAGAGAAAGTTATACACAAGAGAAAAGATTACTGGCTACTAGAAGAAAGAGTATTTGCCCTTTATCCATAGGTAGCATATCCCAAGCCCCCCACAGGGTACTTAGAGCCATGGAGTATACCAAATCCTGCATATACCCTGCTTCTGTGTATACATGTCAGTGATAGAGTTTAATTGGTAAGTTAGGCACAGCAAAAGATTAATAGTAACTAAATGATAGGTAATAAAATACAGCAATTATAACTATAGAAAAGTCATTTAAAATTTAGGAATTATTTATTTCTTTAATTTCCTGTTTAATATTTTTGGACCATGTTTGATCTGAAACTGTGGAAAGCGAAACCATGATGAGGGCGCTGCTCTGCCGACTGCAAGCCTAAAAACATCTGGCAGAAACTATAGAGCCAGGCAGACCTCAGAGAGACACAAATTGCAAACTGAGAGAAGGAGGTGGGGCAGCACCTGACTCTCACTCTGGACGCAACTCGGCGACTAGGAGTGAGGGTCCAGGTCCCAGCTCGCCTGGCTCCCATTGTCCTGGCACCTAGTGCCACTCTGTGTGAATCAGATAGTGCGCGGGGAAGGCACACTTGCATTTCTAGCCCCAGTGCTTAACATGGAATCCCTCACAGGGATCTCAGCTTGGTGGAAAAGCTCAGTGGATTACCAGTTAGCTCACCTGCAGGAAGGATCTGTATCTCATTACAGATGGGACCAGGAGGAGGAGATACTGAATCAGCACACCCGCCAAACATTGCTGTGGAGGAGAAACGACAAAAGCCAAACCCAACAAAAATGGGAAGAGGAGGGGGAAACAACCCAAATTAGCATCCTTGCATGCTGGCTCTGATACTGAAGGTCATGTCACTCACGAGAATCCCAACATCAAGAACTGGGGGCATGGGGCAGTGCATTCTCTTTATGCAGTGAATCAGAAGTCAAGCTAGAGCTACAGAAGGTTCCCTTGCTGGTGGTTTTAGTGTCTGGTAGAAACATTAGAGAATAATGAGTGCTGGAAGAGGCTGATGGGTAAAAGAAGAAGGGGAAGAGAGGTGGTGGGAAAATGCCAGAACACTGCGAGAGGCAGAGAGAAGGAGGGAAAGAATGAGTGGGCAGGATGGTAGGGAGTTGATTAAATATGCAGAGGAGAGGATGTATGTGGAAAGAATAATTCTGTGCCACCACCCCAGAAAAGAAGAAAAATGACAAAATTCAATTAGTAGATATTTCTGGAAGATGAGGACAAAGAATGCTGCATTCTGTGCATAAAATTTTTAGTACTTCCAAGGTTTTCTATATAGATATAGATATTACATTTATAATCAGGAAAATTTCTTTTTTTAAAAGTGACCTTGTTTCAAACAGCCTCTGAGGCTGAAGCGTGCTTGGGCATCCCTGCTGGTTCCGATGACAGCATGGGCCTGGGACATGAGGATTTGCTGACTGGCAACTTGGAAGTTCTGTAACACCAGCAGCATTGCCTTGGAATGTTTCCCAGCCCAAGTGGAGCATCTGTCTCAGCTGGCTCTGTCTCCAAGACTGGAATATCCTGCAGCTGTGCTGTCCAATATTGTAGCCATATGCGGCTCTTCGGCTCTTTAAAACATGACTAATGCAACCCAGGAACTGGATTTTTGCATTTTATTTAATTTTCATTAATTTACATTTGAGCAGTCTTGTTTAACTCAGACCTCCAAGGGAGACAGCACTGCTCTTTCTGGTGCTTTCTTATATTAACTGTTTGGATGAGAACCCTGAACCCCAAGTCCAGGGAGGCCTGTGCCCAGCTGCAGCACAGCTTGGAAGCTACAGAATGTGTCAAGGACCAGCTTGGGCTCCAGGAACCATGAAGATGCTCATTTCTGGCTCTTACAAAAGATAGCAGTGTGCCACTTCTCAAAGTTCAAATTCAATACCCAGCAGCCTCCTGAGCAGCAAAAGCAGCAGCCCAAGGTAACAGCTGGTGATGATAGTACTTCCAATGTCCGTATCTTTGGGTAACATCTTTGAAACAGACATCTTTACATTTCTGAGGGTTTTCTATCGGGGTCGCTCCCGGCCGGCAGGAAAGACACACGACAAAGTCTGGCGGTGTGCAACCTTGCCTTTATTTGTCTCCGCGTGGGCCCCGCGAGGCCTCCTCTCTGCCACCAGCCCTTTCTCGCCGGTGGACTTTCTCTATCTCTCTCTGTGCTTCCTGTCTCGTGGCGGGAGAGGCATTCACTTTTATAGGGTGACAGTGGCCAATCAGTTCAAAGCGCGCGATGCGGGCTGATTGGCTAACATCAGTTGTTGCTAGGCAGACTATCTTACAGAGCGGGTTGTTTAAGTCGCCAGCGCAATCAGGGGGCAGGAAGCAGGCGCCAACTTGACTCACTCGATGGGAGGGGCAATCTAGCTCAGGCACCGCTCCCACCCACAGGCCCTACGTCCGCCAAGTAAGGCGACCGGTGTCGGCGGCTCCCAACATCTCCCCCTATTTTATTTACTTTGAATGAATGTATGCATCGCAGCCCGCCCTGGATCGAGTGCAGAGGCTTATGCCCTGTGTTGAGGCCCACCGTAGGCCCTTGGCTTGGACCCTGGTCGGCCGCCCCCGGGTCTGCCAAGGCCTTGAGACCCTCGTCCTTTTTCCAGGGCCAGGAGTGAACTGGACGGAACCTGGATGCACATAGGCATGCACTCATGCCCCTCCGTGTGATCCCCTCGGAGAGGCATCTAGATCTGGGCAGATTCTAGTAATCCAGCGGTTTTCGTGCGCCATGGGGTAGGGCCTGGCTTAGGTCGAGTCATGCTGGGGAGGCACGCTCTTACCCGTCATTGACTCACCTACCCTGCTGTGTGGTGTCATTAGGGAAGGAATGCGGAAGACCCGCCACACCTAGACCCAGTCGTAGGCCAGTCGAGCGAGCCATGCGTAAGCCTGGGGGTCATTGTGCCCATCACGGGCTGCTGCCAGGGCCGCATGGGCAACCAGGCGTACTTGACGCCAGGCCGCCGCAAGGCGCCCATTAATAAATGATGTAACCCATCGGAGCAAGAATGGTCCTACAAGTAAGAGCAGAAGCAAGGAGCACAGGGGACCTAACAATGGTAAAACATAGGGGAGCAAGCCATTCCAGGCTCCCCAAAAAGGGATTGTCCTGCAGTTCTTTTAGGGCTCATCTTGTTGTTGGGTCTGCGGTTGGCCTCTGGTGGAACAGGCCTGATCTTCAGTCGAGGGACTTGTCGCAACCTCTCTGGGACCCACAGTGGTTCTCGTCCCGATTCCTGCAGAAAAACACAAACTGCGCCTCGGTTCCAGCTAACCACCGGATCCGGGCCCATCCATTGTCATGCCATAGATAACCGCGCCTTTGGAGGCAGGCCTTGGCTTACTCCC